TAGACAAGAATTGATGATATTAAGGGCCAATTCGTCATTAGACTTTTCCGATAAGTTGGAACCTCTTGTTTAGGATCCAGAGAAATATCCCCTTCTTTGTTTCTGTTCTTATGAGTGTGCATTGTTTCCTATTCCAAATCAATATGTAGAAATACAATTGTTAAGTTATGGAGCCTGATGTTATGTTTGATGTACTGTCAAATAAATATTCTTCACACGGTTAACCTTTGTGGAGAGGTTGCCGAGGGTGTGGAGGGCTCACGCCCACCCACCCGCGAGTGGAGTTCAGGACTCCACCCCAACCCAAATAGTAGGTTGTACCTTTCTTATTCTCCATATAGCCACTGGGTGTTACTACGAAAATCCTTGGTTTCTTCTTATTTCTCATCTTGATTCAAGTTTGTACGCACTACCCTAACAACACACCCGTCGGGTGTTCTATATTTTCAATGTGAGGCGTTTGTTAAATAATAAAAAAGTGACAAGGAATCATACCGGAAGCCAGAGGGAAATGACCGACGCGACCAATGCAACGCCAGATATCATAAGGCAAGGCAAGAAGTAAGGGAATCTGCATGTTGACAATGGTGAAGGCATGATGCTAAGGAGAGAAAATAAATAAATCGAGCATAATGATGACCAACATAAAAGAACATATAAACATCACTTACTTCCCAAAAAAGGATTCTTCAGAGAATATGTTCGGGTACTTCTCTGCAGGCTTCATTTTTAATAGGAAAAAAAACAGGCATACCAACAAGTTACAACTTACAACGCTTGCAGAAAGCAACAGCATTAACAGGAATAACAGCCCAATAATGTCCCACAGTTGCAGACGAAATGAACAATTACAGGAAATAAGATTTGTAAATATCATTAAAGGAGCTGAAGTGGCACCTAGAGTTACCAAAGGGAAAAGATAATGTACCTGAGCAAAATAACCACCAATAGCCGGTCCTATCACCAAACCTATACCCCATGATGTGCTAACCTGGAATATAATCATATGTTGTCAAGAGCATAGTATCACACTAGTTGTTAGTTGTCCCACATAGTCGCATAGAATTCAAAGAGATTGACAACAACAACAACAACAACAACAACAACCCAGTTAAATCCCACAAGAGTAGGGTCTGGGGAGGGTGTGTGTACGCAGACCTTGCCCCTACTCGAAAGTAGAGAGGCTGTTTCCAAAGAGACCCCCGACTCAACATCGAAAGTTGCAGTGTTTGACTAACTGCTACTTCATTAATTAAAGAAGCGCAGATAGTTTAGAGATCCATTTTGATTTATTCCATCACACCCCAAAGCCAAAAATGGTGAAATTTTGACTCCATCGGAGATGATGGAAAATGAGGGTATGTGTGGCATCTTTCTTGAGATGGAAAAAGAGATTGACAACGGTTACTAATTCATTGAGTTGGACAAGCTAATCGACGTTTAACTCATGTGCATTGCTATGACTGAGTTGAGATATCCCAATCCAATTATGTTATATATCAACAGACACAGCATACAGAGAAGTCGAACACATCGGAAAATGAGCAACTTACAGCAGATATGCCCAAAGCATGATACTCTTTCCGGCAAACTTCAGAAGCGTATGCCTAAAGGAAGACTGAGTTAATAAATAATTACTCCGTATTGACAAGAGCTAGATTAGAACAAGAGTTTCTAAGAAAGATGCCACACATACCCTCATTGTACCAATTATTCCACATAAACTTCCAAGAAGAAATCTTGTGACAATAGCCATCCAGTAGTTCATACTAAGGCCAAAAAGGGTATTGAATATGACCCTGTAAATCATTTGATCAACATGAAGATATAGAAAAATAAACAAGTCTAATTAAAGAAAATGCTGTTTGTGTAATATCAGAGTTTGATTTTTTTGTAAGGACGGGTTTTACTAACACTGTTATTGTGCCAAACATTACCACAGGCCTTCTGCCATATCGATCCGCGATGACTCCCCAGAGTACAGATGTCAAAGCTCTTCCCAACATGAATGATGAACCTTTAGCAATAGTTTTAAGATTTTTGTTTGAGAACTAAGAAGTGGAAGAGTCCAAAACGTTGTTCGGTTAAAAGTAGTATTTGGCACGACTTTTAGATCAATGAATGTTACTACTGACCGACATATCCAGCAAAGTAACTAATATCTTCCTCTCTTTCTGCAATGTGGAAATCCCTGACCATGAAATATAGGAAAGGAAAGAGGGATGATATTGGTAGAGCTGCAAAACCAACAAATCAAAAGTATGCAATAAGATGAGCGAGGACATTTGAAGTTGCAACAAATCAAAAGTATACACGGAGCTCAATTATCTTCATAAAGTCTCACATTTTAATTTCATTGGTTGATTAGAGTACTATGATCATCAATTAAGGAAAATTGCATTCCACATTAATACATTGAAACAACATTTTTAAAGTTTTTACAAGATAAATATAACGAAATCATATTTTTATTAATATGCAATGCAGATTTTATTTGAACATACAGAGGTAGTATTATGAAGAAGGTCTAAGCTGGTAATTAAAGTAACTAGGGTTTAGGGAGGATAAACCAACCGGCGCAGAGGGTGACAACGGAAATGAAGAAGACGTGCTTGACCGGAACGCCGGAATCGGCGCGTTTGAGAAGCTCGACTCTGCAACCGGCGCAGCCCTCGCCGTGGCCGCCGTAGAACACATCATCGTCATCCGCCGCTTCCGCGATCCGGTTCAACAACGGCTCTCTGCTCTCTTCCGGCGCCATTGAATTGAACCTGAACCGATCGATCGGCCGATGCTCGGTCGGCGTCTGCTAGTTGCTGCGGCGCACAGACTGGGGTTTATGAACTCCATTTCAATCAATTTATGCAGAGAAGAAGTTAATAAGAGATCGATCGATCTATGGACATGAATCACGAGGGTACTGCTAATAAATGAATTAACGGCCTTCGTCTTGGGAGTTGGGAGAGGAATCAATGATATTTCTTCATCATTCATTCCTCACCCAGCATTTATGATTCTCATTTCCCAGATTTCTTCTGCATGGATGGATGGATAGCCTCCATACTTGTTCTTGGTACTACTTTCATGCTCTACCTATTTAAATTAACACCGTTTGATTTTTCCGATCATAGCATTTTTTATCATAAATTTAGAGTTGTCAGGATAGCGAAGAATTAGATTACAGAAAATATTCGCATCCGTTTTAAATGAATATTATCCGTATCCGATTAAGGATATCCGATTACTAAACGGATACAGATTTAGTAATTGTATATCCGATCCGTTTAAAATCTGATCCAGATATGCATCCGTTTAAATAACCGTCTATACAAATACCCGATCCATTATATACAGTTTTTCCTAATTTTTCTATGTTTAAATTTTGTTTCTCTATTGATATTTTCAAAGTATAAGACATTTTTATATACAAAATAAATGTGTAAACACATAAATATATGTGCAGACATATAAATATATGTGTATATGTGTGTTGTGTATATATTTTTATCGTACGAAGTTATCGTAGAATATCATAAATCATGAAAACAAAGAAAATAATTATCCCATAACAAATTATAGTTGATTTAATAATAGTTTGTCTTTAATCTAATTTAAAATTAAAGCATTGTTTGGTTTGATTTTTAAAATTGGAAATGGATACGGATATATCCGATATCCAACCAATATACGACGGATGCGGATACGGTTTTGATTTTCAGTATCTGTCAAGATCCGTATTCGAATTCAATATCCGAAAAAAATAAACGGATACGGATTTGGTGCATATAGTTTTTGTGGACCTTCTCACATAAAAAACTTATTAATTTTTTATTAAAAAACAGATGTTTATTAAAGTAATAAAGAAATATTTATTTTGGTCATATGTAAGTCCATGATAGATCTTAAGTCCACTATAGAATTTGTCTTCTTTTAAACATGTGAAAATGTAACCATGAGTACACATATAAAGTTTCTTTTTAGAACATTGAAAAAAGTCATTCTTTTTAGAATGTTCCCAAAAAAGGGATCCTTTTAAATTTTTTAAGTTAAAAAAAGGGCTTTCCAATTTTTAAAATTTTTAAGGTATCATCCTAAAAAGTCCTTTTCAGGGGCACCGAAAAAGAATTTCTTAACCATTAAAAAATTTGAATTTTTTGACATCCAAAAAATCTTATTAGCACACTTCCGCTAATATTCCCTTTCATATAATGATACAAGAGTACTTTTTTGTATTTTCATTTCTTTTTCTATATCTCATTTTCTTTTTTAAACATTCTAAAAAAATGTTTTTTACTTCAGCAGAATAAAAAATGAAAAATGTTTAGTGGGTTTGGGTTATATGTTAATTTTTTCATTAGAATACAATGTATTTTTATTTCAAGCGTAAACAACTTTGCATTTTTAGAACTATAAAAACAATTTTTAAAAATAACCATTTTTTATGAAAAATTAACAAATGGACACCAAAGCCCTATATTGGAAAAAAAATGAATAGAAATAATCAAAGGGAGTACGTGTTTGAGGACGGATTTTATGGTTGACTTAAGATCCACCATAAACCTATATATGAACAAAATAAGCATTTTTTTATTACTTCAATAAACATCTATTTTTTTAATTTAAAAAAATTATGTGAGAAGATCCACAGAATAGTATGCAACTAAGGTGCACGAAAAAAAAGCACTTTATTTGAAACTATAGGATTTTATAAATAGGTTTTTTAAAGAGAAGTGTAGGTGTCATATATTCAAATCCAAGATAACAATCCAACTTGGAGCCGACCTTAACACTTCAACCTTAAAATACTTGAATTCTCACCCAACAAACTAATCCTTAAACTTCTCGGTTCGAGTTCAGATATTGGTTACCGTCTTACCGCCCTAAACAACCCGAATCCAAACCGGTCAAAACCGAAGCCGGACTTGTAGGTGGAGTTGCTCAATGAGATCCAAACCCACTTGAACAACAATAGCATAAACGTAGTATAATTATAATTATAATAATACACATAAGTGTTAGTCACCCATTTAAAGTAAAGAAAACTTTACATGTGAAGATTAACACGAGTATAGAAACTTAAACTAGATAACATAATAACTATTCCTACTTCAAAAGAAAGTTATATACCACAAGTCCTACAAAATAGATAACCATATATCATGTGGCCATTGCAAAGCACCCTAAGGGTTAGTACAAAGGGTGCAAACAAAGGAGTTCAGGCACAAAGCTATTACTTCTAATCTGTCTGGGGGTGAGGTGAAACCCGATAGGTAAACTCCACATCAAAACGCTTCTCTGGCTTAGATAGATGACTTCACAGCATATAATGTACATAGTAAACAAGGGGGGATTTTTTTAAAAAGACGTAAACTAGGGATTCTCAAATGGCGGTTTACTTACTGCCTGGGAACCGGAGGAGGGGGAGGAGATGTTTGAGGGCTCTGTCCATAAAACCCAAATCCGGGTGGCGGGTAAAACCCACCATTGACAGGCAGCTGAGGTGGTTGGAGAGGTGGCCTTGCAAGTCCGGTTGTTATATGCAAGGGTGGGGGTGGGAGGGTACCAGCAGAAGCAGAAGCATAACCATAGTTCATACCCCCCATAATCATAGCTGGGGGTTGCACTAATTGGGCTGCACTGGAACTTGAGGGAGGGATGATGGGTGGAGGGGGAGGTAGAGGGGGGAGCTGTGAAACCGTAGTACCATTTGGTTGCTGCACCGGCGTAACAGTAGAGAAATAGGCTGTAGATGAAGAATTGCCTCCGTTTGTTTTATTCATGTTATCGGAAGAGAAAGATGGTGGACCCGGATTGTCCAGCATGGGCCTCTTCTCTGGAAAATTAGAAGAGAAACTTTCAAGGCCTCTTTTCAATCCGCTGCTGCTGCTCATAACTGAAACAGATGCAGCAGCAGCCTCTTCTGCAACAAGGGAAGATAGGATAGATGTGAGCATTTGGGCAGATGATGTGGACGCTGTGAGTTTGGCAGCAACGGCTGCTGCTGTTGCCCTTGTGCTGCTTTCCTCATTGCTTGGATTCAAGGTTGCAAATGAAGATGAAGTGATTGGGGGAGGGTTTGTAGGCAAAGGAATCACAGAATGTGAGTTTAGTTCACTTGTTAATGCTGCTCCTGATTCTGTTGGGGGTAGGACAGAAGACCTCAACCGTTGCCTTAAACTCACAGCTTGTTCAATCTGCACACGAGCAGCCTGCAGCATTTGAACAGGTGCCACAATTAATTTGAGATTCGACTATTTTCAATATATTCTGCATAAAACATAATGCTTTATCCAAACCTCAGAAAAGAGTATCAGGCATTCTATGACACACACACACACACACGCACGCACACAAACAAACACACACACACACACATATATATATTATCTCTGTGTGTGTGTGTGTGCGTGAATGCCACTAAATAGCGTGATTGAATGTATGTTGCTTTCTAGACAGGTGACTGCCACTAATATTGCAAGCCCACCTACATGATTTAGATATGATTCTTAACCTACTCCCAGAAAGCTCCATTTCAGTTAACTGTGCATGGTCACATTGGTGCACAGTTCATTCACAAATAAGAAATATGTGTTCAGTACAAAAAAAGAGTTACAAACCTACATTAGTTCTGTTTTTACTTTTCGGAAAAGACATAGGCAGCACATCAGCCCTTCGAGGTTCCCGCTTATGCTATTTACACCATCGAAGTTTTCAGGAAAATAATATGTCAAACTTTCATAGAAGCCAGATTAATTGGGCGTAATTTGATGCATATTTAGAAAGAAATGGAACTTGATTGCAGGTATAAACAAATTTTAACAAGTCAGACACAACCCCATGAAAACTTCATGCTCAGCTGAGCTGCACCTTTGTCAAGAGTGCTAAAAATAATACGGAGTATGTTCCAAAAAACAATGAATTCATTGAAATATTGTTACCAAAGTATTATCCTCATCTACAACCCCTTGGTTCCCATGACATTGGTTCCATTGCCTAATAGTGGGCAGGTGGTTTACGAAAAAGTCAAACAGTGCAAGATTAAAAATACAGCGATCAGGAGATGAACATTGGCAGTAGTTTGCTACATCTAGGATATAAACTATAGAGTAAACTGTTTCTATGATGACTATCTTGTGTTTAGTGCAAATACAGAAGGGAGCATTTAGGTTCAATGATTTTTAATGCTTTGTAAACACACCATAATCTTGTATTGCTGTGTCGGTGGTATGAAATTTAGTGTCGACTATTGTCTTCAACACTGTTTTTTTGGGATTAAAACAGTGGCAAAGTTTTAAGTGGAATCAAATGATTCGCGTAGTGTTTTAGATTATAGGCTGGTCTTAAAAAAATTGTTCTCTGGTTGCAGACTTAAGCAAGAAGAATGCAGGACAAAAATATTGTGATCAACATTTGATACCAGTGAAGTTGTGGATGAGTAAGTCTATCAGAACATCACTACCATAACATATTATGTATGACAATAAATGCTACCATACCTTATAAGCATACAGCACGCAAGCATAAGATTAAATAGGCCTAATATGACGATGGTCACAACACAAGAAGTTAACAAGAACTCTTGTGGAATCTAGTTTTAGAGGAAACTTGTAAAATAATTGACATGGCAGAGAAGAGGCAAAGATATATACGAGATGGAAAAGAGGAATTGTCACCTTCAAGTCACTTCTTAGCAGCTCCAATTTAGACTCCTGGAAAGCAACAGCGTGTAAGAACCCAAGTGAGAAAAAGGTATCAACGACCTCTAGTTTCTAAAAATACAAAAGCACGAGAACAAAATAATAGAAGACTACTTGATCCTCAGCTGCTTCCCTGAGCTTAGAAATCAAGGCTACCCTGGACTCTTCAACATTTTCAAGTTGGGTAACACATTGCTTAAGTATGTCCTCCTGTTCTTGGATCTTATCTAACATTTCAGATCCCTGTGGAGTGCCTGAGAAACCAGTGAAAAATTATAAATAATTCTCAAAGATAAAGGAAATAACAGAAACTAATTATTTTCACATAAGAATTCTGATGTTTACAATGGTTCAAATAAAAGTCCAGGGAATGTCAAAGAAAGTAAGGTCTGATTTGTCTTTTGATTGTATGTGCTTTGTAGAGTGGCTCGTGCCTGGAAGGGACGGGGGCAAGTAGCTTAAAAACTTAGCCCAGCATGTTTAAAAACAAACCCACTCTAAAGAGAGCAGGACTCCAGAATTTTCTCTATTAATAAAGGCTTAAGCCACAGTAACCCTCAGTGCATTTAAGCCTCTTACCTCAAACACTTTAAGGTGTAAGTTTCATTAAGTCCACTAAGACTTTAGCCTTATGTGCATTTTATTCATGCCTCAGAGCTGTATGCCTCACACACCTTTTAAAACCGTGATTCTTACTAATATTATACGGAGTAGTATTTAATTATCTTTTGTTGTCATTTATGCAAAATTTAACTTGACAATGTATATACTTGTAGCTTTTAGAAAACTAAGAAAGATTTGGTAATTTGACAAAACAAGGTAGAAATATTTAACCCTACTTCTTTGGATTGAGGTTGTTAGCATCACGTCTTTAATCTTAAGATCTATGATTCTACACCAACAAATCAATTCATAGAGCCATAAATATTCGTAATAGAACATTACAAATTCATTAGAAAAAAGTTGGGATGATATTTTCATTGAAAAGGTTAGGAAGAGCAATGATAATGACTAAGATATTGAAAAAATTAATTCCACCACCAATAAAACCAATGTCTATCAAGAGAGTGATGAGTAATTATTTTTCGGTGTGTGATTTTTGTGCTTCGAATATGTTATATGCTTATTGAAATCATAATATAAGCTTTGCTTTTTGATGCCATATGTTTATTAACTCTTAAGTTGGAAGTTGACTTAGTATTGTTAACCCTTCATAACAAAACAACAGCAACAGCAAGCAAACCCAGTAGAATACCACAGAAGTGGAAAGTCTTCATGTATCTAAAAATTCTAATGGTAATAACTAGTATTCCAACGGATCGTACAAGGGGACTGAAAAAACTAGGTGACAATACTTGACTAACTACAAATGAAAAATCAAATGGGGTTAAAGAAAATGCGGTTAGAGTTGAGTTTGTATATGACATAACCGGATCATACATCTAGAAAAGTAAAGTAGACATCCTTTAGGCACCGTTTGGAAAGGAGGAAATGACTTCCAAAAATAATGACTTCCAGAAATCATTTTCCCATTTTCCGGTGTTTGTCTTCTGTTTTATAATTCCGGAAGATAATTTCCAGTTCTATCTACTACAACCTACCCTCAACTGCTCCACACCAAACAATCCACCACCACCCCGCAACATGAAGAGTAAATCCCTAACGGGCAAACAGGTACTCCATAAGTTCTAGCTCCCTACTTTTCAGATCCATTATCGTTCACTCACTTTTCTTCTTTTTTCTTCTTCTTTTTCTTTTGCTAGGAGAGTAGCAAAGAAATAAGGAATTATAAAATGAGATCCATTATTGCTCCAGATTTCAGGTCTTTTCCCTAAAAATGATTCCATTTGTTTGGTAAATGACATGACAATTTGAATCAATTTCATTTCCTAAGTTGTTTGATAAGTACTCCGTATTAATGAGTACTAAATCCATTTCATTTGTGTAAATGCTTTAAAGCAGCTTGGATGAATGAACTTATTCTTGACATTCATTTTTCGGAACTGAACCAAACAGAAATAGACAGTTTCAAACTTCCAGCCAAACACCCAAAAGAGAAAATGACTTCAGGAAAATACCTCACTTTTGGAGAAAAATGATTAGAACAAAAAACCATGAACGCGGTCAAAGTGAAAAAGAAATGACTTTCAATAAGAATAGCTTGAGTGACTATCAAAACACTGCAAAAAATACCACTAAATGCACATACAAGTTACAGCCGGATGTTCGGAATGTGAGGTGAGAGTTAGGCACAACAATTTCCCTCCCAATCTATAGAAGCAAGGTGACATGGTCCATACTCCATAGCTGTATCGATGGGCTTACAGTAATATTGTTTTCTTTTTTTCCAATCTATGACACATTTATTAGGGAATGCAAATTTCATGAGATGCTTGAGCCACCTATATAACAAGGATAAATTTTAGTTCACCTCATTTTTTGAATGGTTTAATTGAGTGATTTGTAGCATAATCAGTGATGACATTGTCCACAACATAAACTACAAGGTATATTCGTCCCCATAATATGTCAATAGAAATCAAAGCAATATCTTTACTTCGTACAGAGTCAAATTTTTTCAAAATTTGACTTCAAATTCCAAACAATACTTGTGATTGTTTAAGTCCATAAAAGGCTTCTAGAGGCGACACTTCATTTAAATGAGTTGCTCCCAAAACTGAATGTTAACTTCTATCAGAATTCCTAAAAGCAGAAGTTTATTAAGCCTGTACAATGTTATTGTTCATTGGTGAATAGCAAGTAATCGACAGAAGAAAAAATCTGAACTGTTCCATCACTAAATTTCCATTGAGAACATGTTCATAACTGTGTTTACTTAGATATAATGTTTAATTAGGGACTATGCAAGTAGATATATAGAAAGTTAAGGAAACACAATTCCTATAATTAAGGAGAAATCTCCTTAAGTTCAGGGGGGGTAGGGGTCAAAAGACAAGACCCCTTCAATCTAGAGTGTGTACTGCATACTGTGTATATTGAAAGCACCTAGCTTCTGTGTATGTATTTTTGTAGGTACGTATGTATGTAACTAAACACACACACACACACATAGGGGTCGTGTGAAAATGGACTTTGGTGAAAGAAATGAGAATGGTGCATTTTTGTTCCCATGGTGCATTTTACAAAGTTTGATTCATGGGTTCACGTGAGAATCATCCTTACTCCGAGAAATGAGAATGGTGCATTTTCGGGCCACCGTGATGCATTTTAGACTTGTAGTAGTACATTTCAAAAAAATTGATTTATTTACAAAATTGCCACCGTGATTTTTTTCATTTTTTTAAGATTTTTTATTTTTAATAGTCCTAAGATCTTCAATCTCATATGCATTCTTTTTTTCGTTGTGCATCATTTCTCATTTGAACCAAAGTCTATATATATATATATATATATATATATATGCGGAATTGTAAAGTTGCACCACTCCAAGTGGTGTAACTCATAAACTCCCACCCCCGACCTCACCCCCTCAGGACCATTCTAGCCCTTGCAATTGAACATTATTTGCACCCCATAAGTTTTGTTGACTTTCCGGGTCAACATTTTGACCAAAATGTCAACCAAACTTATATCGTACAATTGTGGGGGCTAGGGCGATCATGAGGGGGCAAGGCCGGGGGTAGGGGTTTATAAAGGGGTAGGTAGGAACTGTCAATTTTACGAATGGAGCACCGTAGGTGCCCCAATTGAAATGGTGTCACAATGTTACACCATTTGATATGAAGTAACTCTACAATTTCTATGTGTGTGTGTATGTATGTATGTATATATCATACACCTACATTTGACCTTGCATCCGTATCTTGCTTCTTGTTTTTTGAGATATTAAATTTCAAAATAAATATCAGAATTACATACAATGTTAGGGTTTTTAGATGACCGATTACTTATCTGACTTGAAATGAATGAACAATAGATTGCTTCAGGAGCTAAGTCCGATGATGGCAGTAATTTTGGAGATGTATCATTAGAGTTATGGTGGTCTAAAGACTAAGACGTTGGAGATGGATCATTATGGTATGTAAGTTCACTGGGTGATCATCTCGGTTGTGTAGGTCTAAGATGGTAACTGGCAAGTATTAGAGGATTGTCATGTTAGTGTTATGTTTGTTACGTAGAGTTGCAGTGGGCATTAAATTGACTTCGGAAGATGGTGGTAATGTCTGTCCAGGGGTTCTTTAAAATAAGGACACAAGAAGAACATCAAGGGGAACCTCTAGAATCCTATTAAATACTCTGGCATTATCACGGTGCAAAGCTTTTATAGACATCCCAATTTGATTTTTAACTTCAATATTAATCTTTTGGAAAAGATCAATCACTTCAGATACTTGTTTTTAGTAGGAAAATTTTAGTATGCTAAAAAATGTCATTAATATGTCGTATTTGTTATGAACCATGAAGACACAACACTTAAGGAATGCAACATGGTCCCGAAGATTGCTATGGACAAGGAAAAAGGAGAATCAGTTCTCTAATTGACTCAATTATGAAAGGATAATCCAGACGGTTTTCCAAACTGATGCCAAAGACAACTATGAGCAAATCGTCATTTGCTAAACAACAGTTGATTACACTAACAGAATCAGCAGAAAAGGTCACTTAAAAATAAAGAGTAGGTGTCAGCTGATAAATTTAAATAATGTTAAATGTAGATGTTAATAAATAAAGGACAAAGGGTGAGGATAAATTAGGAAAAGGTGAGGCACTACCAATATCAATTATTGTATACTTAGATCCATCACCATGAATAAGGGCTGCAGGTTTAAGTGTACACTTTAGACAACAGAGATGATTAGACACTGCTAGATCAAGGATCTATGAACTGTGAGGGCTAATTGAGTAATAAATACAAAATGAGGCTGTTCCCAATGAACATTTGGAGTGAAAACTGTTTTCATCGCATTAGCTATAAGTTGTACCAACCAGTGTTCAAAATTGTGCATTGTAGACTTTAGGCAGTGTGGTGTCATAGTTTATTGTGTAAGCCTCATTGCGCAATGAGGTATGAACCTCAGTTTTTAGCTAAATGTTTTTGGAAATAATTGCGAATCCAACTAAAAACACAAATAATATAATGAAATGTTCAATAAGATTTGACAGAGTGTAAAATAGTACTCCGTAGTACAGCAACAACCCAGTAAAATCCCACAAATGCAGAGTCTGGGGAGGGTGTGTGTAAGCACACACCATACCTCTACTAAACATAGAGACTAGAGAGGCTATTTCCAAAAGACCCCCAGCTCAAGCAACACAGAACTGATAGCACAAAAAAGATCAAATAGCAAATAAAGGATAAGGAAAACATGATATATAAGACAAAAAGCATACAAACAGATGTAAGGAGAAAAACCCCAACCCTACAGAGCACACAACGACAAGGACAAAACTACCACATTGGTCCAAATGACTATCCAACTACCCTAATCCTAGATCTCCAAACATTCCTATCTAATGTCATATCCTCGGTAAGAGCCCCAAGTCCAAACCATGCCTAATCACCTCTATCTAATTCTTTGTAGGTCTATCCCTTCCCACAAACCCAACTACTATCGTAAGCCTCTCGCATCTCCACATTGAGGCCGCAATTGCATGCTGCTTTACGTGACCAAACCATCTCAACCTAGCCTCTCGCAACTTATCCTCCTCGGGTGCCACTCCCACACGTCTCTAAATAACCTCATTTTGAATCCTATCCAACCTCCACAAATCCACCGCAGCATTTGCATCTCTGCCACATGCAGCTGATGGACGTGGACTTTCTTAACTGCCCAACATTTCGTACCATAAAGCATAGCCGATCTGAAAATAATGAAATCTAATAACTGCACTCCTTCTGTCCCCCAAACATAGTGACACTATGAGTTCTCAGAGTTCAAGAAAAGTGTTGAAAGTTGGATTGTAGGAATTTGTTTAGAAGAGAGAGAAGTTGTGAGTCACATATTCCTTTTCTAACAACGAAATGAGAGAAGTGTAAAGTTTGTTTTGGGACAAACAAACAAGGAAAGTGTACATTTCATTAGGGAGTATATATTAAAAACAATACAGATCCACTCATCAAAACAAAGAAATAGAAGAAATGATTTCTAACAAGAAAAATTATGAATTTTAATAACATAAAAAAATAGGGAAGGTAAACCCTACTGTTGAAACTGAAACTAAGCAATAAAGAGAAATACCTGCTCAAAGACTCACAGCTAAACAAAAAAAAGTACCCGATGGAAAAACCAATAATGAGAAAGAAGAGGAAAAATTCTCGTCAATCAAGATCTTCAGTTGTCTAAAGTGGTTGCGGGCTTGCGATAACAGAGAAATAGAAGTTGAAAGTATCGACTCGCATGAACAGCAGAACAAAGGAAGTTGTTGGGTGAGATAGATAAACTAAATATAGCAATTGTAGCAAAAAGTAATAGCTTTAAAAACATAGCATAGAAACAAAAAAAACAATTAAAAAAGCAATGTAATTAAAAACCAAAATATGAAAAAAAATAAGCAGCATCTCTCAAAAAGAAAATGCTGGGAGTATCAAATTAAAATGAGCAATACACAAAAATTAGCAGATTACACTGTATAAAAAACGGATTTAAAAATAAATAGATTAAAAGGCAGAAGCTAAAATCAAATGATCAGAACACAACAAGAGAGATATGTCGTGGAGGCTAAAAAAACTGATGAAGATAGTGATGCAGAGGATTGAAGATGGCCCTAGTAAAATTAGGGTTATCAGGTACATAAGGTCGGGAACACTTGATCAGGATCGAAGATGGTGTTTATACACTTAAATATAGATAATTGACTTATTTAACCTTAATTTTTTAAAATATTAGGAACAAAAATTTAATCCGCCTCAGGGCATACACTATGAGGCATACATTTTCTTTCGCAATCACTCCAACTCGTATATCATGCAAGGCGAAATTGCCTTGTTGCGTGAAGTTACAAAGGCGCGCCTCATGGGGCATTTACGCCTCACCATTTAAAACATTGTTGGAACTTGTTCATTTGTTATTAGTAATAAAAACAAATACCACAATATTGGATATAGCTTAAACCTTGATACTTGAAGCTTCAACTCCACGTAAGGTTAGAAATGGGGTTCTAAATGAAGCAAATAATTTTGATTTGATTCGTGATTTCTATTTTAAAACAATTATTCGTATTCGGAACAAACAAATAAGAATCAGAATAAAAATAGTTATTAGTATTCATTACATTTTCAAATACAAATATGAACATATACTAGCATATCCATTCAACTTGGTAAATTTTTTAATAAATTTGAATATAGATTTAAAAATAAATACATTACAAAGATAAATACATCATGTATATTGATAAATATAGTGATATGTGTGTATGAGTAGTATATAAGGGTAATAGTTAATGAATTACATATTTAAAAAAAGAAGGCTTGGAACTAAAATTGTAAGTTGAATAAGTTCAAAAGTTGTAACCTAGTCATGAGATGACTAGAAGGCTATAAAAAAAACTTTGATTTGATACACGATTTGTATTTGAACACAATGATTTGTATTCGAGAAAATATGAATTAGAATAAGAATACAAATAGTCATTATTTTTCTTTATATTTGAATTCGAATTACATTAATTTTCAAAAATTGTGAATACAAATAGTAATACTCAACATTTGATTTGGTTTGATTCATTTACAAGCCTAAAACTAATGAAAAGTACAAGGGTAAGACCGCCTTAAGGTCATGAGCCGGAAGAGGTTGTTGGAGCTAAAAGGAACTAAAGGAAAAAGGTAGAGCGACATTAGGTGGCTCTAATACCTTTTTAACATGAAAGGACTAGCAAAACTTGTTCATTTTCATTGAACATTTAACAATGGCTCAAATAAAAGTTAAGTCATGAATTGTCAAAGAACAAAGTGGTAGATTTGTGTGTGCCTTGGTGGCTGTGTACATCGATTAGAGAGGGAAAGGTGTACGAAGGATGCTGTTTGTGTGCGCTCTGGATTTGTGTATTCTATGATAATGACAATACTCCTGAATAAACATGGAGTTTGAAGAAGCATGATAAAACTAATAACATCCCGAAAGGTTCAAGTGTAAGAAAACTAAAAATTAAGGCAAAAGAATAAACAAAGCTAACAGAAAGGATGTCAAAGCAACATTACGTGGTAATTTTATATATATTTAGAAGCCGCAATCTTTTCTATGGTTCATGACTTAAAAATGGGAACACCTTCAATTCTTCAACAAAATAGAAAACAGCTTCGACACCAAAACGAAATACGCCAAAACTGATCTGCTTTTAAATGACATATAATTGACCACATCTTAGTTATTTGATTTCAGGCTAACTGTGTTTAGTAAAAAAGAAAATTTTGGGGCCAACTTTCCAGTTGAACCTTCTGTCTTCACTTATGTCTCTTATTACAAACAAAAAAATCAATATGAGATTGGAGTGTGCTTTAATAAGCCATATCATCTCATTGATATGACATAAACTTTAAAGAGAGCAGGAAAATTGGAAAATCATAATAAAGAAAGCTTTCAAAGGTAGGTGGGTGAAAAAGTAATTGAATGGGTGAAATAAACTAAGACAGTACATTATTATCAATTAACCGGCACTCAAGTACTGAAACTAGCTTTATATAGAGCTGATTCATCGTTATCCTGGTTTTCAAATATGACTTTTTTGCCCACTATTTTAAAATTAAGAGTTGTCAACAACAATGATGCATTGAATTTATCAAATATGATGAAAAAGGAGGTTGAGGTAAAGTATAAATTCCTTATGACATTATGGGAAATGAAAAGAAGTGTTCTCACCCTGAGAGGAGATGTTCATAATATCTTCCTCCATTTCTTTGAAATTAGAAAGAGCATCTTTACACTTGTTCAGTGCACCTTTTTCATTGGTGGTTTCATCATGTAGAGTCTGGAAAGCTGTTATAATTCTTTCAGGAATATCCCCGATGGCCAGTTTCTGGATGTTATGAAAACCAATGAGACATATGCTATGCTGCTAACATCTAGAAGATATTCAAACTTGAAACAAAAGAGATTATACTTACAATTCTCAGAGAATTATTATCTCTCTTTATAACCTTTATAGGGTTTGGGTTTTTGACATTGCTAACTGATAAAGGAGGATTTTTTCCCAGCACTTCATCTTTAAGAGTCTGACCCCTAGATCCAAAAACTTTTCTATCTTCCCATATGTCAACCTAATATAAAGAGTACAAATATCATGAATTAGAGGACTTGAAAATTCCTGAAATTTAATAGACTGCATTCAAGCCTGCATTTGTTGTTACTATAAACTACTCCGTATTTATCTAAAAAGGGAGCATTGGTTTGCAAAATCTTAAACCCTTGGCATTTCATTTTCTGGTGGGGTGAGGTTTTGAACCATGGCGTTTCATTTTGACGAGTGAAATTGCATGATTATAAATCATACATATGAGTGAACTACATTTGTTTGCTTTCCTTGTTAGAGGATTCCTAAGGAGGGCAATGAAGCTCATCCTAAAATGTGCTTAAACTGAGATTGACAATGAAAAAATGAAGATAATGACACAGAGAATAACACATTCCATGAATATTGATGAAAAACGTGTTTTACTATAGGTTAGTGAAGTTTAGATGGCATTATCACAACATACACCGCATAGGCAAGACAATGTACCCACACTCTCTGATACAATGCTAATAAAACACCCTTTGGCCAACTACATCTTTCTTAGCTGAAATTCTTTAATGCATAGCATTCATTCTTATTAAATAGTCATGTGATTACCATCATGACTTGTTTTATACAAATTTTGATCTTATTTTTAAATATGTACAGTTTATTTGCGAACATTAATTCAAATATTGCAAAAATTGGATTGGAAATATCACAAGGCGTGCCTTGTTATTCCTCAGTGCACGAGTAGAATGCATAACACTGGACGAAGAAAGTGACAAATAGTATGCCATGTCATTTGAGCAACAATTTTAAAGAAAGAATAAGTAAGATGTGGTTGATTAAATTGTGATTTTTTTTATTCCAAAATTTATATTCCCTCCATTTTAAAATCAAGTTTACAGTTTGACTTCACGGAGTATAAGAATAGTGTGGTAAAGTAAGAAATGTGGTTTAACTTTGTTGAGGAGAGAGAAACATTGTGATCCACATATTTCTGTCCTTAATATAAAAATAAGGAAGTGTAAACATTATTTTGGAACATCACAAAGATGAAACAGCAAACTTCATCAGTTCATTTTGGGAATGATGGAGTAGTTGTAAGAGCCACGGGTTAGAGGTGATTGTAATTATATGAACTGAAATCACTGACAACCGCTCTTCCCTCCCCCCCCCACCCCCCTCCCACACACACATCCCTATCCCACCTACCACTCACACTCCCACTAACTCATTCCCTTGCCCCACCCTTTCACCTACCCCCTCAACTGCACCAACCTTACACATGCCCTCTCCACCGACCCACCCCGCAAACCCACTCTAGCACCTACCCCATCCCCCTCCCTCTACATCCTTTCCCAGTCCCCACCCCCACCCTCTGATCCTCCTCATCCACTCTCCTAGTCTCATCCCACCCCTTCCCCATTTATTCTCTCCTCCCTGTCCCCCACCGGTAGTGGAGGGAGGGAGAGAATGTGTGTGTTTTCCATTCTGCTCTCTTCTTCTTTTACTGTGTTTTAACAGTGTTAAACTTTTCTAAAAAAGAATCAGAATGACTTCAAAACATTGGTTTCAAATCATGCTCAAAATCCAAGATTTTGAGTCACAATTTGTAATCACCATCCAAATGGACTCTTAATAAGTCCATTATTTAGGAATCCAACCTTGCTACTATTGAATTTGAAAGAGTAGTGACTATGGTTCAATGGGGTCACATCTATACACTCACAACTAAGTTACTACGTGTATTTGTTTATACACATAGGGCCTGTTTGGTAAGAAAACATTTCATCTAATCACAATCTCTCACCAAATAAACTATAATTTGATTGTTTTTGTTGAATCTGCTAATAAAATAAGATTGTTAGTTATTTTTGTATAGTGTGGTAAAAATAAATTTAAAAGGGACTCTTTTTGTCCCTGAAAGAACTTCCTACTTTCCTTTTAGCTATGCCAACAAGTTCTCATTCCATTTAGGCAAAGAAAGAAGTGATTCACATCCTTTCTCTCTTCTGCATAAATTTCCACCATAGAATTCCATTTTTTCTTACTCCGTGAAAAAGCAAGCGAGACCTTTAAGAGACAGAGGGAGTAATTTATCACTCATCTTTTAGATTATTTAACGTGCAAAAATTCAATCCAAGCATTTCAAATAGGCTTATAATTGGTACATATGTGCATTGAACTTTACATGACAGATTGAATGGACCTCAACTAAGTTTGGTTGAAGATGTAAAAAAATAATTGCTTTGTAACATAAAAAGTTTCCACATTTCTTTTTTGGTCTGTCCCAAAATAAGATTCCACTTTCCTTTTAAGGCATGAATTGTGCGTCTCAAATTATTTTTATATCTTCTCCATAAGTCTCAAACCTCCCCATTTCACCTTACTTTGAAATTCAATTCTAGTTTTGCATATGTTTCATGAGCATGATTAAGGTTTAGCTTTACACCTTCTCTGGATGCACTGGTCTACTCAAAATGCTAAAGCTTGGAAAAGAGAGGTGTATTCCCCATTGAGGGTGTGGTCATGTACATGCAGGGCTTTCAACGATGGGTGGATGATGGGGACTCCAACACATCATGTAGCACTAACACTGGATTTAGTCTTATTACTACACTAGGATGGGACAAGTCGTCGATGAAATATGTCAAGGTAAATGTGGATACCTTAGTTGAAAGTGTTGATGTATTTATGAGCATGGGTTTCATTGCACAAGATAATGAAGATTGCTTCGTTGCCACCAAAAAACTCATATGCGTAGGGAGTTTTGGAAGAGAAAGAGGTTGAGGCAATTGCATTCAATGAATATGTGGAAACAAATTCTAAGGAGGTTGCGGGTTCACACCTTGTTGCAACTCGGGATTGGTCTTATTTTCACTCTATTTTGGAAGATTGTAAGCGTCTCCAAGCTCTTTGTATTGGAGATCTTAGTTTCCACAGTATTCCTCATTCATAGAACAAGGCAGCACACTTGTTAGCGCGCACTCCTTGCTCTAAAGAAAATGTAGAGGAGTGGATCGATTCACCCTGAAGAATGTTACTTAATCTGATGAATGTTTTCAAAAAAAATCCCAGAGAGAAGCACTATTTTGGAACGGGGGAAGTAAATGGTAGGCATATGGAATATTAAATTTAGAAGGCAGGGCTAGTGATTCACAACTCACAAGTGGCATGAAGTTGGTTATGACTTACGAGTTCTATATTTTGAAACATCTATTTTCAATCCTTAAATAAAGAAATCAAAAGCTAAAAAAGAGTACATATTTACTCAATCTGCCATCCAACATTGAGCAAGAGCTAATGCATAAATGTATTGATAAAATTTTGTGAATTTCATCAATAGTGGCAACAGAAATGGGACACACGCAACAATAAACATAAATTCCATTGTTCGTATATGTTTTGTTTAATTTATTCTTTTGGTGTCACGGGGAGAAGGGTATTTATATTTGTATTCCACATTATCATTTTCTAGATAGCTCAACACTCATTTATTACATGGAAATTATAATAATAATAATATTTATAATAATTATAATTATAATAACAATAATATTAATAATATTTATTATAACAATAATAAAAATGATAATACTAAACGACAATATATAATTTAGGTTGTTGATTGTGGCTGAATCTCTAAAGATAATTCTGACCTCAATATTGTACTCCAAGCTTAAATGCAGCTTCAACTTTATTTCATGACCAGGGAACCAACAGGATATAAAGGAAAAACAACCCATGTAATGGAGCTTAAAGAATTACCAATCTTGAAGCAGCTTTCTTCTCAGATTCATGACCACTTGCATAAACAAGCTTAAGAGCTGCAGGGAGAACCTTCCAAAACTCATTGACAAACTCACTTCCTTTGCGACGGCTATTTTGCAGTATATCATTCGCCAAATATAATAAAGCAACACGTTGCTCTTTCTGTGCAGGTTTAAACACTTTATCCCATGTCTCAACTATTTGTTTCGCTCTCTTCCTGAAAGAAGTACACCAACGAGACAATGCTGATCGAATGTTAAAGACACAATCCATATCCCAAAACCATTAAAATAACATGCAGACTGATCATCCAAGTATCTAGCCATGAGCCACATTCTACTCGATACTAGGAACTTATGAAGTAATCAGTTTAGGAAAAGGAGCAACTTAACTTCCTTATTATTAAGATAAAAAGCATTGATCTATTAAATTTATTATAAAGGGAGCAGGAGGTTGTGACACGAGTGCAGGCCATTCTCTCGTTATTGGGAGAATATGAAAGTTATAAGAATGAAAAATGAAAATGAACTTTGTATAAATGTAAAAGGTTGTAATGAAATGTCATCATAGAGCCAATGTTATTTTATCGTTTCCAAATTTCAAGGCCACAATTGATAATTTCAATGTTATATAAAGTTGTATTTTCATATTAATATATGATAAAATGGGAAGTTGGATTAAGATATTTGTGTAGTTCCTATTTTAAAATGCAACTCCAAAGACACTTCCAGAAGAGTTTAGAAAATGAGAAAAATTACTAAAGCTGTCCCTTTTCCTTTCAAATTTCTAAATTTTACGCATAGATATAGCTTGTGCAAAGAGAATGAGGTACAATCAGGGCATCAGGCATATGGCATACCAATGCAACTTCAGACTTTATTGGTGATTTAACAGAAACCATTAAAATCGGCATAAAAGAATTCAACACCAGTACAAGTGCAAAGAGGTTGATAATCCCTCACAAAAAAGGACCTACTTGACTGCAATAGAGTTATCAGTTATATCAAAAGGGGGAGATAAATATATGAAAGCATTTCCCTTGGAAGGTAAAAAAAATATCATTTGTCTGCTTCCACACGCTCACTTTTAGTTACTACTAAACCAGGAAAAACAGACAGGCATAACCCAATCTTCTATCAAAAGGATACATTCTATACTTTGTTGTGAACTGTTAAGTTTAGACAACTTTTCAGTCAAACTTTGACCATCAAAAGGTTCGTTGCCCATTTTGTTTCTAGCAATGCTTATGCTAAAACTACCTGCAACAGAAAAGAAATGAAATTTAACTAAGATATGCAATATAAAAATAAAAATAATATGCAATTCAAAACATGAATTGGGTAGAGGATTATGTAGTAGGCCATTTGTCTAAGTATTTTGTTTGTGATAAGCACACAAGAGAGTTTTATCCTCTCGGAATCTCAAACTCCTGCCCCCATCAAGATAAGCAAAGATTAGGAATGTCACCGAGAAATTCAATATGTTAATGGTCATGCCCTCATGAATCGACATCCAGCTAAGAGATGAAAAGGATGATAAGCAACCCTTTCTGTTAAAATCCACTATTTTCCTCCCGTGGTAAAGTATATAAGAAATGCTCTTGACTGTGGAATGTATAGAACATCAAAAATCAAAGGATGTTTCATAATTTTATGGCGATCAGAGTAGAACAAAATACTTGTTATTTAGAATTTCAAACTTCTCAATCAAGATAGCAGCTCCCCATGTAAGAATTATGAGTCAAAATTTATAATATCTTCAATCCAAACACAGAGCCAGAATAAAAACACCACACATTATCTGCAACTGGTTTTGGCATTTTTGCTTCCTAACAGTATGTCAGGGTGTCATAAGACTCCATACACAATTACAGTTAAAAAACAGCATACAGAAAAGTAAGGGTATCAAAGTGCAACTCTGAATAGTCTGAAAGCTAATGGATACATCTAAATGCTAAACTATCCACTAGCCTTGGTTTTAGGGGAAGATAAAATAAAAGAGAATACAGATTGCATACAAATGCAAATCTACATTTTTTATGCATAGGGTGGGGTCACTGGGGTGGGGTAATAAATGTTATAAGTAAATGGCAAAATCTTCCTAACACGCGCATACATGCATGCAAATGTGTGTGTGTAATGTGTGTGTAATGTGTGTGCGTACACACACACCAAATTTCATTTTTAAATGGAACAATGGAAGTTAATAGTTTTTTACAAAAGAACGTTAATAGCTTCAAATGCTGAAGTACGGATGCTTTGGCTAATCCCCTGAAAATGTTTCATTTGTTACTAAAGGTTTGGGATTTCTTCATTTCAACTTCTATTAATAAATGCTAAGAGAAAAGAACAAATTTAAAAGTAAAATACAGCACCTTAACTATAAAAGAAGCTCAGAAGCGTCCCTTCTTTTCGAACTCAAAAGCAACCTAGCAAAGAAACAAAACTGGTTAACAATTAGCATCACTAACAAGCAGTCTACAATCACCAAACACGAGAGTAAATTCAGAAGAACAACCCCATCATTATTTTAAAAAAAAATAGAAATTACCTCAAACTGACAACGATTTCCTTTTCTCCAAATCTGTTGAGGACCAAAAGGTTTCAAGATATATACGTGTCGGCACGTTCAGGGAAGGGGAAGGACGGAGCAATAGTCGGGTTGAGACGGTTAGTGGCTCAGAAACCCTAGCAGAGCCAGAGAGAGAGGGAGGAGATGTACGAGAATGAAACAGCCTCTGTGGTTTAACGGAGCCTGTGGTTGGCCAAGGCCGAGTTACGAAACGAATGGGTACGACCGGAGCACGGCGAGTGTGGAGTGTGGTAGGTTTCGGATTTGAACCCGAAAAACTTTGTACCATATTTTGGCATTGAGACAAGAATAAAATGTGTTTTCAAACAAATGCGTCTAGTAGCTTGCAAAAAAAGATATTTTCTTCATGTAACAAGTTAAAAAAGATGTGTGGAATTAACACCAAGGCAAAATTCTATGTGTCAAGCTTTAGTCTCACCACTACTCTTGATCTTAGCATCTTGTGGAGAGAAACTATAATTTGAGAAGTTAAAAATGCTATTTTAACTTCTAAATAGTGTTTTAGTTATTCACATTTTGTTTTTAAATAATCAAATAATTTTATATTAAATTTTAATTTAAATATACAAAAAAAATTTACTATACAAAGTATCTAAATACTAATACTATTTTATTGTGGTCTTCTGAGATTTTCTAAAATTTTAATTACATTTCTTTATAGTCTTTGTTACAATGAACATGTACAAATAAAGTATGCAAAAGCTAATTTAGCTTATTAGCTAAACTATGAGAGTGTTTCCCTGTACTCTTATTGATTATTAGCTAAAAAGTTATTTTAACTTATAAGCTATTTATGAGACAAAAATTCTTTAATAAAAGTAAAATGACTTGAATGATAGATAAATCGTTTGAGATATTCAAAAACCATGAAAGTCGTCCTTCACTCGGTGATTCGTGGTTTTCACCCTAAAGGCTTGGTTTTTAACACTTAATACTCGGTGTTTATTTTATATAGCATATATAAGTGTTTTCAATAATCAGCTTTTTTGATTTGGAAAACTTTGTTTTTTGATATTGGTTTTTGGCATTGGCTTTCATACCTGTTTTTTGGCTTCCAGACAAAACAACGATGTAGAACCTAGAACATCTATGTTTTGGTTAGGTTTGGCAAATTTCATCTTTGACAGCCAATTTTTGAACAACGATGTTTTCAACTGACCATTGGGGGGGTCCTTAAGACAAACTCTTTCTATTTTTGAAAGTCAACAACCCAGACATCGATGTAGCCTTTAAAACATCGATGTTGTCATGACTGTTAGACATTTCAAATGAAAGTCAAACCTCAAAACAGCAATGTTCATAGCAAAACATCGATGTTTTGAGCATAACCAACTCCTAGTGTTAACAGGTCTAACTTCTTGAATCGGTTAATGAATCATTAAACAAAACTTTACTTATTTATTGATAATATTGGAGTAACTATTGGGCCTGTTTGGGAAGAGCGTCAGAGTTTAAAGTTAGAGATTAGAGTTAGAGATTAAAGTTAGAGTTTAGCTGTTTGCATCAGAGTTAGTGATTAACTGTTTGATTTTTATCGTTTGGCGGTTACATATTTAAAAAAGCTTATGCATGGTAAATTACTAAACTACCCAATTGAACATGTACTCTTGTATTTTAAAAGTTAGCTTATTTTGTATTGTTCTCGTGATTATTTTTACATTTGTTATTATAATTTTTTATTTTTAGGTTAACAAATTGTTAAAATATTTTTTTTAGAGGGAATCATTAAGAAAAAATGATTTATTATACTTTTAGAATAGAACAACAGAGTAATATTTTAGTAGACTGTAAGAACTAAACATTATATTTTTTTAAAAAAATAAACTTAATAAGCTCTTATAAATGATTGCATATCGAATTTGATAAAAAAAATCAAACATTGACTCTGTATCTCACCAAACTGTATGCTATTTTATCTCTAAGCGAACTCATTGCGGATTCATTACTTCCTCTTCGATTACTACTACAACTTTCTTCATCATCTGAATCTTCCTCGAACTCATCATCTTCATCTTCAAACTCTGAAAAATCATAATCTTTGCTACCAGCATGCCAACGAATGTAGTTATGCAAAGTCATGCAAGCAATCACTATCAAAACCTGTTTGGGAAATGGATAATTTCTCATGAATTTTAACATAGCCCATTTATTTTTTAAAACACCAAATGCTCTTTCTATAACACTTCGTAAAGAAGAATGAGCTTTGTTGAATATCTCTTCTTTGCCTGATGGTGGTCTTCCTTGTCGAAAATCTGACAAATGGTATCTCTCTCCTCTATAAGGTCCCAAATAACCGGCAATTTGAGGGTATCCCGCATCTACTAAGTAATATTTTCCTATAAGATATGAAATATTATTGTTATCAAAACCATGTTATCATTTACACTAATAGAATACCGAGTAATAATACGTAAAACTTTAACTAATATTTTATGTGTAAGTATAAAATAAATAAATNTACCAGGCGGTGGATGTGGGAATTTCCATTGCTCTTGACGTAGAGCCTTATAAAATACATTTGCATCATGAGCAGATCCTTCCCAACCGGCTAATACAAAAGTAAAACACATATTAAAGTCGCACACAGCCATCACGTTTTGCGTTGGCACCCCTTTTCGTCCGATATACGGTAATTGGTCTATAACAGGAATGGAAGCTGGAATATGTGTTCCATCAATTGCCCCAATACAATCCTGCAACATTGTAAGTTAAAAATTAATCACTTCATATTTTGTTATATTTGACTTATGTAAGATGTAACGTGTGGATGTCTACCTCTATGTGTGTATAACACAATTTACCTTAAAATGTGGCATGTATCTGCTATCATTTTTTATCTGTTCTGCAGTATCTTTAAATTGCCGATCAGATGGTTGAATCACATCAGAAGCCATGCCAATAATGGTTTCTAATACCATATTAAAGTATCTGCTAATTGTTTCTCCAGATCTTTGAAAACATTCTTGAATTTCTCTATTTGACTCTCCATGCCCCAAAATATATACAAACATCGCAAGTGCTTCGATTGTTGACATATTAATTGAACCACTAAGTTCATACTTACTTTCTAAAGTATGAAGTAAACTAAGAAATATATCCTTTTTCATTCTAAACGCATTATAAAATCTCATGTCATGACCATCTAAAAGCTCTTTAACCCACGACTCACCACGTTGTCTTGAAGTGAAGCAAGGTGTTTTGAGAATATATTTGCGATAATACTCTTCAACATAATTCATCAATATGGTTCCTGAATGTGTCCACTTCAAATCTTCATTCAAAATGGCTCGTAATTCGCGTTCTTCTATTTCACTATCATCGAAGATACTTTGGCCAATCATCTGTAAAATTATTTTAAAAAAATCTTTCACGAGTCAGTTAATTCATAACATGTTATATACCTTTGAAAGCAATATTAATTCACATCTCCAAAAAATACAAATGACACATCAACGAAATATAATTCAAGTATTAAAGGCACTTTATATAACAATAACAAAGAAATATCTTGTTCTAAAAAAATGTCTCAATAACTAACATAATTGAAAAGAAATTAACTCACGGTGCTAAAATTCTCTAACATATAAAAAGTTGTAAACACAACCTACAAAGAAAAGTTGGAGTTATTGTTTCCTAATAAACTAGTAAAAGTCTGAGCTTCATTTGCTGCTGCTTCACTTTCTTCGACTTTCAAATACCAGAGTCTATTTTCATAAGATTTTAGGGCCATAAACATTTCACGTTTGTCTTTGTCCAATAAGAGCTTCGTTGCAAATCGATACAAGGTGCTACAAGGTGGAATATCATCCTTCATGGCCATTAGCACCTCAACTGCTTCTGAAATAGTAGGAGGCAACTTGTTCACTCTTGACATGATAGTTTCTCTATGTTTGTCAAATTCTCCCTTAATTTCATCTATTTTTGTTGACAACATAGAAGCTCCTCCAAACTTTTTCTTGCATAACTTTTTCTTTTGTGTAGATGATGAGCTGATCTGTCGTTTTTTTATGGGGTTCTCAATGATCTCAACACTTGTATAGCTCTCTTTAGTGCCTTCATTTTCATGGTCATCATTTAGATCGGGGATGCCTAAATCAACACCAAACTCCTCCAAAGGTGTAGTATGAATATCAATATCCTCAAAGGGAATTTGAGAACTTGATGAGGCTTCGAAGAATCGTCGTGGAGGACAACCAGCCGAGGGAGACCACATATCATCTCCTTTAGCAACAGTACCATCAAATAAAAATCCCAACTTGTCTTCCAACTCAGGATCAATGCCTTTAGCTCGGAATTTGGCTATTTCTGGATTAGCCTATAAAATAAATAAACCATAGTCTCAAATACTTTTATTAATAGTATACGGTTAACACAAACCGAGCATAAGCAATAGCACTTATCTCAAGTAAACTTCATTACGTAAAGTCTATCTAGAGAATACATAACGTACCTTAATATTTCTTTCCCACCAATCATCTGTAGCATCAATAGTGCCTTTACGTGGGTTCCACCCTAACCCGGTTGCTAGTCTCTTCAGGATCCTCCAATTCTTCCATTCTTTTTTCAATGTATCCCATTTATGTTTCATTTGTTGACTATCATAGGTAAGTCCTGTCTCATTTTTGAACTTAGTGGCTATGTTAGTCCATACAAACTTCTTTAAACTTCCTCCAGATCTATTACCATTTTCTAGTTCCCTTTTGCAGATATCACAGAACGTGATGACACGACTCCTCTCCCATTGTGCTCTTTCACGAACATTGTGACTAGATTGAGAATTGAGCTTTAAAAAAGTATTGGTAGACATTGAGCATTATGAGTGATGAAGTATTTACATCTTTAAAAGGTTAAAGAGTAATTGATATAAGGATCTATTAGCAAATTATTTATCTGAAGTTTTATAAAAATCAAAAGACCAACACAATCTCTCAAGTGAACCCAAACCTACGAAGCAAATAAGCAATTTAGTCTATAGATTTGCATATCAAGCAAATAAGTTCTAGTAAATCCTCAAACTACTACGACCTGCATATAAAGGGAAAAAAATGCAGGGGGGTGATATTTGGTCAAACAAAACAAATCTTGCATACAACTAGTCAAAAAGAGGCACAACAAGTCAGATTTGATAAATTCAATTCAACCAACAAATGCAGGCTAATAATATAAATTTTTTACTCTAGCTATTCCACTATTTTCATGCAGTTTGATTTTTTTTCTAATCATCTTAGTTCCCCATACCTAATTCAAAACCTCTAAGTTACTCCTTAGTTAATACTCCATGCAACAGAGGACTCCATACCTGATTTTTTACTCCTTAGTTAATACTCCATGCATCCATAAATTAAATACATGTTTTTTTGGTTAGAATTTGTTAAGAAGAAGAGAGAAAGGAGAAAGTTTTTAAAAGTGGCAGATTCATTATGATTTGTTTGGAAACTTGGTTTTCATTTGAAACTCTAGATTTGGACCAAACATTGTGCATGTCAAAAATTAAATTTACAGGGGTGAAAAAAATTGGAGTTTGTTTAAACAAAGGAGGGGTAAAAAAATTGTTAAATTTGCAGAATTAATATGCCAATAGTCTAATATACTCTGCAATTTCTCACGCCTCTCCCAGTCTCTCTTGGTGCCAATGATTATACCATTTTTCAAACTTTTCTCCTTCCTCTCCCTTTCCTCTAACACTTTAACTCCCTCTTTCATTACCCATTTACATTATAAACAACAAATTTAAAAAAAAAAACAGATTCTATTATACTAAAAAAACAGATTCTGAATCTTAAACAGCAACCCCGAATACATCACTCCGCCAAGAAACACAACAGAGTCCAAAACTAAAATTGAATCTTTCAAGGCCAAGAAACACAACAGAGTCCCAATAAACATAAAAATTTTAAAAAAACAGATTCCATCATATTACTATACCACTCAAATCATCTAAAATATTTTTTAAAATAATGAATTACAAACATGAGTAAAGAATTTTATGTGCTACAAAAATCATATTAGTAAAAAAAACTGAAATACTTACTTCCAAAGAATCTGAGGCCTCCATCGAGCTGCTCAAGAACCCTATTTTTGTAATCCCCAAATCGTGACTTTATTCGGGAAGCATATGAGATTAGGCGGTAAGATTTCCCTCTAAAATTTTCATGGGTAAAAGAGTAAAATTGATCTCAATCGCTAAATTAGGGATAAGAACGCTGGAGGGTGAGAGCTTTCTGCGTTTAGCCGCGCGGAAGAGTCGGGAGGAGGAGAGAGACGAAGAACGCTGGAGTAAAATTAGGTCAAACAAACGCAAAAAAAATCTAAACGCAGCGTTTGGGCTTTAAAACGCCAATACCAAACAGGCCCATTATACATGTGGAAGCTTAACTTATTCGTACATAACGTATTAAGGATAATATTTAGAAAATAAAGTCTTTATTATTTCCTTCTTTGATATCATCTCGTCCATCCTTCCAATTGCCTCAGCATTATCCTCCGACTAAGTCAATATTTTGTTTGTATACCTAGAAAATGGAGCCAACCCAATCAGCAAAAGTTGAGTGTATCAAAGAGATTCATTTTAGAAAGTTATCCAAATATCAATACTTTGGCCTTGTCGTCAATGATGTTAGATATGAAGTGCAATATGTTTTGCAATAACACATGCAAATTGATAATTAAGATCTGCATAATTACTTACAAGGGATGCAATGTCAAATGATTCATAATGCATGAGTTAAACTATGCAATGACCATATGCCCTCCGGTGATCATCCCACGGCGGTGATGACCCGAGGAAACCTTAGTCTCTTGGAGGAGACTAGAAATAATGGGTGGTAACTAAAAGCCTAGTTGCCATTTACGTACACAAGCCCTCTGAATGAAACCCGTTGGACCCCTAAGGCTCCTGGTTGGGTCCACTGAAGAGGCGCACTAAGCCTGACCCCTTCAGCGGTATGCCATAATATGAATGATTCCTATATCATGCATCTACAATATGCATGAATTAATGTCATGCTATGAATGATTCCTATATCATGCTTGACTTATGAGCTCGAATGCCTTATTTTGAAAATTATGTCTTGGTTTCTAATCCATATTTCAATTATTGATTCTTACATTCAAAACACTTTGATTTTGGACCTTGCTCAAAGTTCAGCAGTACCTGATAATCGATTATCAAAGTGGTGATAATCGATTATCAAAGCTTAGTAGTACCTGATAGAAGATTATCATAACTTGATAATCTATATTACCACAGTACTCGGGTTCTACTTTGGTCTGCCAAATTACGTTCAACCTTTTGATCTGATTAGATCTAATCTGGTCTGATTTGATTAGATTAGATCTGATCTGATTGGATCTGATCTGATTGGATTTGATCTAATCCGATTGGATCTCATCTGGTCTGATCTAATCTGAATAATTGTGATTTGATTTAAAATTCAAATCAATAATTTTATTTGACTTGATAATAACGTTTAAAAATTATAATGATAATTCATATTATAATATAATCAATATTTTTTATTTTATTATTTAATGTATTTTAAAAATAATTTTTCCAATGTCTAATAAAGGATTACTTTATCAGTTTTCTATTTAACTTGTTTCTAAAGTTTATTTTTTTTCTTTTTTAAGAAGAAGAAGAAGAATAACAACAACAACAACAACAACAATAATAATAGTTCTAGATGGGGTCTGATCTGGTCTGATTTGATTGGAACTGATCTGATCTAATTTGATTGGATCTGACTTGATTGGATCTGATCTGATCTAATTCGATCTGATTCAATCTGATCTAATTTTAATAAGAATAAGAAAAAATAATCTATACTCTACTTAAAAGCAGGGGAAATCTTGCCCTATTTTTTCCCGCCCAAACGCCGGTGCATATTGACCATAGACTATTGGTACAACTTGATCAACGGCCGTGAATTATGTATTGAGAAAGGTAGGAAACATAACAATTAATTCCTTCCTTTTAAGGAGTTCCCTTCCCCAATTAATTGAATTAAATACTCTATTTATTAATGTTCTTAAATAAAATTATAAAACCAGATATAAGCCATTTTTACTAAACTTGTGATGATGGCGATTAAGGGTGTGTATTAAGGTTTTGCTTTTTTTAATTATATTTATAGATGGATTTCAAGATTTTTTTGTGTATTGCAATTCTCAAATCTTACTGGATGCCCATTTCTACAGAGTATTAAAACTTTAAAAAGATCCTCTGTACTTTTTGGCGTTTAATTTTTATTGGAAGTGGAGTATAAAGGAAGCAAATAAGAGATGATATTTATACGGAGTATAAAGGAAACAAATGGATTTTGAATTAATTGTACCAATATAATTGCAAAAATAATTCATTCACTTTTGAAAAACTTTTGTATGTAGTACAAAACATGCATTAAATCTTAAAAAAATCTATTCTAGGAAAAATAAATTCTTATCCGATGATTCATTCCAAAAATTTAATTTTTTTTAATGAAACAACATTTTAAAAGATTTGAAATTGGTGTTACAATTTTTTACGTTCTGGGGAATAATTAGATTGAATTATTGGGAAAAAATGTGCTACTATTTTGTTTTGTATTATAATATTTTCTTTAAAACAAAACTAAATACTCTTTAGTGACTCACGACACAATTTTATTCTCAAAATGTTTTACAAATTAATTTTCCGATAATCCATTACAATTTTTTTTCTTGAAACGAAACGACCAAAGAAGTTGGGAGCCTATATGTTTTTAAAAGACTGACACAAATCTTCAAAAAGAGTGTAATGCTATATTTTCTAAAACATTATTTAACATTGAAAAACTTTAAAAAAACATTAAAAAGAAAATTTGTTTCAAGTAATCCCACTTTTCATTTTTTGACGCAAAATAAGCTCTTTTTCAAAAAAAAAATCTTTAATCCACTATTACATCTCTAATGATGATCCAAAAAGCGCACACATGCCAAAAAAATAAGATTTTTACACGTAATATTGAAAAGTTAGATTTTTTTGGAAATTGTGTCATTCTGAGATTATTTCAGATTATTTTCCCTTAAATTTTTTAATACAATGTATTTGTTCAAATTGGTATTTTGTAATCTAATTGATGTTCATATAATATTTTGAATTTAATGCAAATGTTTTAAATTTAATTTTTTTAAAATACATTTCTATTTGTATAAGTGGACCGATACATTTTTTACTTCATTATTAATTAAGTTTTTTAAATTTATTTCTCAAAAAAATTTATTAAATAATTATATGTATTTCAATCCACTTTCACGAGTGGATTGAAATTTCTTTATTTTTTACTCCGTATAATTTTGATTTAATAAACCATGTTTTTGTTGATTCTGCCATTTTTCAATATCAACACAATTATATAATTTCATATTGAATATTTTGACCGTGCAACGCACGGGTGTTATACTAGTTTGAACCTAACATTGCCTTAATATCTACTCCGTATGTTTTAGGCAAAACCTTGACTCTTGATTTAAGGTACGTATGCCCAACTTCAAAACAAGGAACCCATAAATATATACGGAGCTGCTGGGACACGGCACTGTGATGATGTGAAGATCGACGTGAATTCTTGGCGACATACCGAGACAGAGTAGAGGAGGGAATTTCTTCATATTTCCCCTTCTTCTCATCTCCCCGCTCGGCAAATTCAAGGGCTTCACCTCTAGATGTGAGTGTTTTCGATTCACAATTCCTCCTTTTTTGTTTGATTTTGTTCTTCAACATTGACATATTCCGCATGAATTACAGAAGAATCGCGTGGATCGGCGATTCACACACAGCTAGATCTCGCACTGTTCAGTGATCGGGGGATACGTAGTAGATAGATGTCTTCAACAACTCTGAGGAGACGGCGGCTCCATCACGGGGACGTTGATGGCAAACGGGACGAGCAATTCGAGGGATTGAGCTCCGATGATGATTTGAACGAGCCCTTACTGGGTGCTTACAGTAGATATGATCGTCCCGATATTGATGACAAGCATTCCCAGGTGCATTTCTCAGTTTCATGTGTTAACAATGGGTGTGATTTCGTATGCTATGTCACTGTGTGAATATGTTAAGACCACCTAAAAAGGTACTCCGTAAATAATTTTATTACAGGAATGTACGCTGGCGGAGATTTTGGATGAAGGGCGAAGGAAAGAACACCTCCACTGGACTCTACTCTTTTCGCATTTAATTGCTCAGTGGGCACAATGGTTAGGTGGGTTTTGTTTTTTTTAAAGTTCTTATTTTACCTGAGTGATTGCAAAGCATTTCCTTTACTGGCCAATGATTGCTGGCTAGCTTAGTCTAATGAGCATAGGAGACACTATTGTGTTGGTGTGATTTGTTAGGAGGTTTGTGTTTTGCTTTGCTTTTTCATGAGAATTTAAAATGTGCACAGCTGTAGCAATGCATTTATTATACTCTAGATTTTTAGGTCAACAAATCAACAACCAAGGACACTGAAGAATTCATACTGTATGAGCAAAAGAAGCCCATCTTGACTAAAGAATCCGATAGTGCAATCACCTTTCATTGAATTGGTACTTGATCAAATAATTTCAAGTCTCACACTGCCCCCTATTTTCTATCGTGAATGTCGCCATTTGAATTCCTCATCTATGTGCTCTCTGTGAAGTGCTGCAAATATCTATGCTCTAATTACTTGCTCATACTTGACTTGACTTCAATCATGTAAACCTTTTGATGTCAAATGAATCCCTTTTGAAGTTTAAATTAAGTACTTCAGGTAATTAGGAGGAGGAGGAGGAGGAGGAGGAAGAAGAAGAAGAAGAAGAAGAAGAAGAAGATAATCGAATTGAAAGAGAGGAGCTTTTTAGTAAAAACATGACTAGTCGAATTGCACATAACTCTTAGCCCAAACTAAATCTTCAAGGTGCCTAAGATTACTATTTCTTTTGATATTCTTGGTTGTTCTAGTGGTTCATGATAGACATGGACACATGGTTAAAACCAACCTTATAGATGCAATCTTAGACACAAGTGAGGTCTAGGTTAGCAAGCATTAAAGTCCCACAAGTGGGGTCTAGGGAAAGTGAGTGTACATTAGACCTTACCCCTACATATAAATGTACAGAGTTTGTGTTTTTGGAACACCACAGACTCAAGAGAACATTATGATAACTCAAAAAATAATGCCCCCCGTTTAAAAATAGTTTGCATTGTTTGATGCAAACTTAAATTGCATAAAAAAATATTGAGTGATGATGTAAACTTAATATCATTAGAATATTAAGTCTATTTTACAATGTAGTTGTAGAATATACAGAGTATAAGTTGTTTACCATTTACCTATATGATATCAATGATCAAAGTGTTGTCTCAGTGACCATGATATTCAAACCATACAAAGTATTTACTATTTAGGAAATGTCGAATGAAAGGTACAAAGGTAGTATTTGGGGCGAGGGTTACTAGTAGATTGTATACCTTTCTGCAAGCAAATGGATTGATTTTCATAATTCGGCTCAAACTCGGTGGAAGGTAATTGTTGTGATGTCAGGTTCATTATCCCTATAAGGAGATTAGCAAGTGTGGCAACAATGCGACATGAATCTCAACATGAGTAGAATGTGGACGATAATGTAAACCTATTAAGGACTATGAATTGTGGAATGGACTTGAGTGGGATGACACTATGAGATTGGAGTGGAGTTGTATGAAAGGTTGTATATTACTCCCTCTGTCCACCATAGATCTTCCCGGATACTATTCACACGGTCAAACTTCACTCACTTTGTTTGCTTATTTTTACTAGTCATTTCGTAAAATAATATAGTCTTGTCACTTCTAGTTTTGTAGAACTTTTCATGTAGTTTATTACTATATAAATTTTATTTTATAATTTTACTCCTATAATCAATTAAATTGAATTGAAAATAAAGTCGGTCAAGGCTCGTAATGCGCAATGGGAAGATCTTAGGTGGACGGAGGGAGTAGTTGTTTTTTGAGATAGAACAATAGGAGTTCCAACGGAGATAAGTTGGAGACAACAATAGAAGTTGCAACGGAGATAAGTCGGATACATGTTGGAAACGAGAGCAATATGTAAACTTTAGGGGTATGCAGTAGAATGAGGACTCGATAAAGGTGACATCATTCAACAAAAACACATGTCACAAACTCACAATGTCGGTGAATAATAGTGACATCCATTTTAAATTCGCAAGTATATAGAAAGGTACATTTGATAGACATGGTAGATGTTTTGGGACGACATGGTGTAATATTGTTACTCATAAAACAACACATTCACTTGCAAATATGAGGTGGTATAAGAACGACTCTTAGGTATGCAAAATTGCATAATACGAAAGTTTGAATTGAAGAAAGGATGAAGGCATATAATTGATGAGATGACACACTAAGAATATCATCAACCAGGTATTATGTTGGCGTGTAAGAATGTAAAATGATTGTAAGGGTGGTATCCACTAGATAGTGATTACTCCCTCCGTCCATAAATAAAGTTCCTGTTGCGCGTTGCGATGTTTGACAGAAGTTATTTTCAAATCATTTTATATGAAAAATGGTATGTAATTCAAATATAAAATTATATATTTAAAAACTACATGAAAAGATCTACAAAACTAAAGATGACATGACTATATCATTTTATCAAATAGGACACAAAAATAGGTCAACAAAGTGAATAAAATTTGAGTGTTTGACTCTGTGAATAGTGAACAAGAACTTTATTGTTGGACAGAGGGAGTATTAGATTTAACAATCCCCTACGGTTTCCTTGACATTGAGACTTATGTCACGAGATGACATCGGGCACCTACGGTGCTCCCGTTTTAGGTAGGGTGCTGGGCTGGGGTTAGGGGGATAGGAACCACTATCGGTGCGATAGTGCCGGGAAACACTGTGATGTCATCCCATGACATTCATTCCCTATATCAAAGGAACCGGTCTCTTATCGATCTTGTTTTGTTGAGATGTCTAGGCCAAAAAAACGATTGATGGAGCATTCCATGGGCAACCATAAATTCGTTATATGTGTTGGTAAAGAAATCTTCTGCATTAAAACTTTGATGAACCAATAGAATTGATATTGCACTTTAGCAAACAAGTTCTAAATACATTGAGAAGGTACCAACATGCGGTTCTCAATATATGACATGAAAGAACTACCACGACACACCCAATCGATTATAACAGCTTTTTTGTCCCCTTTGTTACAACCTACAACTCTGCCAATTATGCAATTATGAGTTGGGCGTGTTAACCATTTAGCCATGGACACGTAGACAATATTAAATCCCTCAAGGAAAATCTTGAGTTTGGATCCCAAATTGATGGGTAAGTGTGAGCTTATCCATGCTGCAAGGGTAATGCAAATGATGGACTCCAGATACAAAGTGCGAAAAGGTATCTAGAATTTCCCTTTGTGGCCCTGGATAAAAGGTCTTGGTCTCAAAAGAGGCACGCTGTTATGTCAATTGAAGTAATTGCTAGTTTGATTGAATCTTACCAAATGCCAAGATATTGCCTCCTCTTGAGACTGAAAAAAACTCTTGAGATTCCATAAAATTATCTTTGACTATTTGCATGCAGGAATACTCACAATATGGTTGCACATTTCTATTGGAAAGGATTGTTTCCTATCCTGCTTGATATAATTAAATGGATCTTTCATTTAAAAATGTCCCTGTGTATGTTGAAAAATCATCAATGGATATAACAACATACCAAAACCCCGGGGTAGACCTGACAGTATAAGCTCCAAATTTGAGTACCACTATCAACGGTGGAAAGACTAAGGTGGCCCCCGCAGTTTTGGAGTGTAATGCCGACTTGGAACAGACACTAGAAACTAGATCGTTTTAATGAAGGTAAGTGATGCATGTAATTAATGATCAAAATCAATCATCTTCCCCGTACTACGATGTTGTAACATCAAAGAATCATAGAATATGTTAAAATATAGTTGAGTGATCAAGTTAGTTTGCTAATAGACACTAGATTAAAATTACTATAAGGAACACATAAGACATTGTTCAATGGTAGGTATGGTTGTGGGAGCGCCATTCTTGTGCATGTTGCTGTTGTTTCAATACTTTGATTACAACCATGCTGGGGGGGGGGGTTAATTGTAGTTCTAAGTTCTGGAAAAAAACTAAATGATTGATGTCTCACAATTTAGGTGCATGAAGGTGGTGAGAAGATGGGTTTGGTGGTGCATTTAGGTTTTGAGGACAACTACTAGACTGTTTTCAATGTCTTTGCTACTCGTGCCTGTTTTTTCAGCTGATGGCTTTTTCAAAGAAATTTTTCCTAAAAGCATCAATTGTTGTACCGTAGTGGGAAAAAAATCATTTCTCTTATTTTTTTTACTGGAATGCCTTTTTGTATTTGTCTTTTGGAGCTCAATGTGGGCCAAGTGGAGCACCGAACAACAACAACAACAACAACAACCCAGTTAAATCCCACAAGAGTAGGGTCTGGGGAGGGTGTGTGTACGCAGACCTTGCCCCTACTCGAAAGTAGAGAGGCTGTTTCCAAAGAGACCCCCGGCTCAACGTCGAAAGTTGCATTGCTTGACTAACTGCTACTTCATTAATTAAAGAAGCGCAAATAGTTTAGATATCCATTTTGATTTATTCCATCACACCCCAAAGCCAAAATTAAACTCAAAAATAAAAAAGATGTGCCTAACATTGACTTTTATGCTACGGATCTTTTTATAATTTTTTGCTCAAAGTTCATTGACACAATGATTACCAAATAAAAAACCCAGCAAGCTTCACTTGGAATTATTGGAAGTAGGGTTTTGGGGGGGGGGGGCTTTATCTTTATCTTAAATAGTTGAGTATGAGGCTATGAGCTCAAAGATTGAATTCGTGGTCTTTTTTATTTTTAACTTTGATTATTTCCAATAAGTGTCTTGTGACTTTTTCATTTTAGCAAACATTGTACTCGGCTCTGGGTCATTTATTGGACGGATTTTGCCTTTTTTGCTAATCCAAAGTGGACCCACTACAAGGCTTCTACCTCCATTGCTCAATCCTTTGCAGGTATTACATAATGCACACTAAAGAAATGAAATGGATGCTGTATATTGTAGCAGATTTTGGATTATGTATTTTTGTCTTTTGAAATCTTAGACATGACTAGTTGAACATGCAAACATTTAAAAATACTTATAATGTACTTCTGTGTACTTGTATTTCTACTGATAACTTCAATGGTTTGGACAAGTCATGTACTAATTAAAAATGCTAAAATCTCTTCTTTTTCTTTGGATTATTGGTGAAATAACTGCAAAGTGTCCATTTTGCGGATTTACGTATGCACTTACCTATCAAGGACTATAATCTATAGAGAGATACATTAAGGCAGGCTCACCTCTTGAAAAATGCTGCAAATGTTAATATTTGCCATTTTTGCTGTTGTTGGAGATAAGAGTGTTATTGGATGAGGCCATCGTAGAAGTGTAGAATACTTGAGGTTTACAATGGATTTCACTCTCATGAGTATAGAAATATACACATGTCTGATAGAGATCTACATATAGGAGAATTTTCTTTTTAAAAAAATGTTGCAAATTTTACATTTTGCTAATTGTTGCGGTTGACAATTAGGGGATTGAGAAATCTAGCAAGTGGTGCTGGTAAGCACTCCATCCTCTAGGTAGAGGAAGTAATAAGTGGTCAAAAAGGAAAAAAAAATAAGAAGAAAAAATAAAATATTTTGAGATCTTAACCAGGATGTTATATGATTGATTCACAAGAGAGGGATAACACCTGTTAAATAATAACATGAGCCATCTTAGGAATACTAAAGCATAGCACTAAAACAAGATTTTAAAAATTTATAAAACGTGCAATGAAACTGTGCGCCGTGAACCGTGCTGCAGTATACTTCAACAACAGGGGCTTTTTTGAGCAGGGTCTTTACACAGCATTACACCTTCATGGGTGTATTACATATCATATGATCAACCCAGATTATTTGAGCCTGTTGACATGCATAGGAATGATAGGATACACCAAAAGACAAACATACACATGTAACATTAATTAAATAGAAGCACAAATGCTATAAAATTAAACTTAAAACACCCCCTCATGCTGGAGAATCATGAACTCCAAGCTCGTTACAAGAATTAGTGACACAATCCCTTCAAAACCTAAGGTCAGCCCCGAGAAATAATTTAAGCTTAACTCAACTTGAAATTAAACTCGAGGTTTGAAACTTAACTTTAGTTTGAGTTCAAATTTAAAATTTGAAACTAAAACGTGAACTTCACTTGAAGCTGAATTAAACATAAACATGGATGTTAACTTGAAATGTTAAAGCTTCACCGCACATATTAGTGCTCACCCTTGCACTCAAATTTATCTTAACTCTTAAGTAATGGCATTTTATGCAGGCACACTGGTTTCTTTGTCAATGGTCTAACTTGATGAATCTTTGGTACTATAGCTTGCTAGTTTCTCTGTTTACTGTTATGATGGTTTTATCCGATTCATCCAGGCTCTAGATTCATATGCGGTGTCATACTATCTGTACTCTAAATGAACTTAGCTTTTTATTATCCCCTCCGTCCCAAAAGGATATTTACATTTACTATTCATAGGGTCAAACTATACCCTCTTTCTTTTTTCATTGATCATTTGATAAAATAATGTGTCACCTCTTGTTTTATACTACATAGATCTTTTGATGCAGGTTTCAAATATATAAATTTTTTATTTATTTCTTCACCAATCTTGAAATAAATTCAATTGAAGAAAATTCAGTAAAGCATCGTAAACCGCAATGTCAAATACTTTTTGGGACAGTGGGAGTTTGTTTTTGTCTTGAATCTCTCATTAGTGCTTCCCTGATTTCCTTGAATAGTTGAATGATAATTTTATCTTGGTGCATTGTAGGAGGCCAGGCTAAAACATCTAAAGCGAAGAGTTGCAGTTCCTTTTGATGGATCTTTTCGGGAGCATCAAGTACGAATTTCTTATCTCCATTTTTATTTAGTCCTGAAAAACTTAGTCATTGCATGATTTTTCTTCTCATTAATAGACACAATGGTTTAAATATTAAAATAACAACAAATGGATACAATAAAAAGTGGGGGCATTCTTTACCAGTTAAATATTGAAACATTATGCCCTCTTTCCTGGCTGGATCATGAATGGACCTGTGGGAATGTGGTGGAATCATGATATTGCTCGTGGAAGCGCGAGATCTGGTGATCTTAAGCCAGCCTAAATTGTCGGATTTTTAACAGGGTTCTGAGTTTGTCTTGTTCTGACCTGGTTTTTAATATGCAAGAAAAACCTTCTTGACCCCTCTCTGTGCTAACTGATTAATCTGAAGTCTGAACTATTCTTATTTTTAAATTAAATGAACAACAGTAACAAAGTCATATCTCAAGTAATTTGGGGTCAAGTACTTGAATCAAGAGGAGAATCATGTTCTGTCATTCACCAAAATGCTCTCTTGCCATTCCTTTTCATACATAGTCACAGTCTTGCCCAAATTTCAGAAGAGAAATCGCTCCTAATAACCTCTTCTTTTTTTTGGATCTCCTCTTCCACTTTTGCACAATTCATTTCTCCACTCTAAGTCATCTAACCCATCATTAGGCCATCTTTTTCCTTTTATCGTGTATAGTTTAACAACTCTTGAGTTAACTTTTGAACCTTGCTTCCAGGAGGCACTGAAACAGCTGTGGAAGTTAGCTTACCCAAACCGGGAGCTTCCGTCTCTTAAGTCAGAACTTTGGAAAGATATGGGCTGGCAAGGTTGCGATCCTTCAACTGACTTCAGGTATATGAGATTATGATAGCTCACTACTATATTCTTCCTGATGATCTATCCAATAGAATTTAAAACAAAATGTTCAGGGGTGGAGGCTACATATCACTGGAAAATCTGATATATTTTGCCAAGGCATACCCGGTTGGTTCTCGTTTCACTTATTTAGGCCCAAGCTTTGCTTTTATGCCATTTCCTTCTCGAAATTTTCACTTTGAATACGATATTTGTAATTTGTTTGATTGATATTCTATCACCTTGTAACGAGGAGACTGAAGTTTTGTTCCATTGACCAGTTCCGGATAAGCAAAGAAAGGATAATTTGGTTTGGATAAGGGTTTTGAGTACAAGGACTTCAAAGCTTTGGCGAGGGTATTAGCATATATATGTCTGATGTGGGCTCTGGGTTTTATTTGTGTTCATTTACCATACAAAGACCAAAAAACATGCTTTCACCTTGAAGGATAAGCTTGTTTTTCCATTGAAATAAACCAAAAGGATAGCACATATGGATAATGCAATTGATATTTCTGATACGTGACTTCTTTGAACACTGTTGTTTATTGATATTTTTTGCAGAATGAAAATCTAACTCCATTTTTCAATGTGCTCATTTCCCCCCATCAAATCTCTGTATTGTCACACCTAGTTAGAAAAGAGGGTTCCTGGTATCTTTTCTATATATAGATCAATTTATAATGACAAATTTAGAGTCTTTTACTATGCAATTTTCCCCTTTAAAGGATTAGTTTACCATGATTATGGTGATTTTAGAGTGGATTGGGATCTCATCACTGTACCAAAATTGTGGTTGGCACAATTTCATCAGGTCTTCTAATCTGATGTTGCCTCACTCTCCTGCTTGCTCCAAAAAACTCCCGTGTATATTTTGCCAGCTAAAAACTATAGTTTATCTCCATGTAAACCTGTATTTTTGATGTCAAAGAATGCGGCACACTTTCTGATGATTTTTTTCCCCATTTGTTAGGAATCTTTCCAGAATTTGTTACAAAAACGAAATGGGAAACGATCCGAATGGGAGTATCCTTTTGCTGTAGCTGGCATCAATATTTCTTTTATGTTGGTTCAGATGTTGGATCTTCAATCAGGTTTGTAGAGCAATCTGAACATGAATTTCCTTTTCCTTGTTATAAACTCCCTTTGTCTAAAACAAAAAGAATCTTGTTTGAATACTGTTTTAGTAATAGAACAACAACAATTAGTAATTATGGCCTCTTTTTCTTTTGGAGTAGAGGTAGCAGAGTATTGATGATATGTAATTGTGTCGACCTAAAAAAGTATGTGCTTGATATTGTTTCTTTCTTTTATGAATAAATCTCAACCATACAATTTCATTATGTCAAAGTCAACGGGGAGAAAGTTATGGGACATATTGAGCACATTTTATGGGAATCAATTTATGTTTTTTAATGAAAAATAACACTCCCTCCATATCAGAAAAAAGTTCTTTGTTTTTTCATTTGTCATAAACTAACTATCTCATTTTTTCTGTCCCTTTTTACAAAAGAATATGTGGTCAAAAACATTTCTCTTTAACAAATTCTAACCACCCATTTTTCACAATTCGACATCTTTTCAAAGTGAGCAAATTATATTGGGAGGGAGGGAGTATAAGTTACTCAAGCACACTACTTGACTAAAGAGATCATTTTTATTGTGCTAGCAATCCCAACATGTGATTTAAAAAGAAAAAACTCAACCCCTTGAACAATGGATTCGACCTGCGCCCTTTAGACTAAAAACATACTGGTTGTGGACTTAGAAGCCACTGCTCATTCTGGACCTATTTCCTGAAAGAGAATTCTTATTCAAAAATATGAATATTTATATATTCGTTTAATGCCTCATTCTATCCGAAATGCAGGAAAACCAACCACACTGCCAGCCATCCGGTTTCTAGATTTGCTTGGCGAAGATGAGAGGGCTTTTGACAACCTCTTTTGCGTTGCCTTCGAAATGTTAGATGCACAATGGCTTGCAAAGCGGGCGTCATATATGGAATTTAATGTAAGGAACGTTCATCATTGTTCATACTCCCTTTGTCCTCACCAAAAAATACTTATTTATATATATAAAAAAGCTCTATTTGAACAAAAAGAATATATACATTCAATATATATATGATTAAAGAAATGTCTCTTAATAGTGAGGGTCTTACCCTTAGTAAAAGTGTTAAACCCACAAATAATTTAAAAAATACAGAGTATATTCTTATGATTTCTAATAGTTGTACTTTGTACCTCACCAAAGTCAAAGAATTACTCCATATACATTTGAGAAACATGACTCGTTTTATGAAACAGATTTAGTACATTGTACACAACAACATTCTACATACAAAAGTCTATATTCTTTGTATTTTTTTCTTTTTTTCCGCGCAGGATGTTCTAAAGTCTACCAGGAACCAGCTAGAGCGCGAGCTTGCACTTGAAGACATCTCCAGCATTAAGGATTTGCCTGCATTTAATCTATTGTCAAGATGATCCCGTTTGGCCTTCCCATACACCGTAATCCCAACATCTATATGCCTTGTACCTCCTCTTGTACATTCATCTCGACTTCTTTCCTCTTGAAAATGATACTCCCTTTGTCCCGAAATTGATTATAATTTTTCTCAAACCTCTCGATAACTTTTGTTTATTTCTTTATTTTCATTGATTCTTTAATAAAATAAAATATTCTTGTCATCTCTTATTTTGTAGAACCTTAGGCGTAAGTGTTTAGTACTCCCTCTGTCCATTTTAAATTGTCTGTTTGTCTTTTTTCTTCGTCCCAAAATAAGTTACATGTTACTTGTTATCGTAAACTTTTAATAGTAAAATACCTAAACTACCCATAAAATAAGTCACTCTTCTCCATCTTATCTTTTCATTCATCGTCACCCCTTTTAAAAAGTAATGTCAATTTCAGAAAATCAACTCTATTTTTTCCTTTCTTTAAATATACCCAAAAGTCAAAACAGGTGATTTAAAACAGGATGAAGAGAGTATATAATTTTTATTTTTTATTGATATACGTAATACCAATTTGTAAAGAAAATGGCTTCAAAAGATGTAGAATTTTACTTCATTCTCTAGTTATCTTCCTTTTTTAAATTTTTCTTCTTTTCTTTTAAAGAAACAAATATGTCATCTATATCAATTCCCTTTCTATTTTATTAAAACGAGGGGCATATGGGAATTGCTTTGCATCCCATGTTTTATTTTTTAATTTTATTGCATTCTCATTATTATTTTTTCAATGTTTATGAAGTCATTGTAACTATGAATCAATCATTAATGAATTTGTGAAACACGTCCGAAAACATATTCATAACAAATGTAAATATGTGATTTTCTCCTTTTAGTTGAGATCTTTCCTTTTAACCCCATTTGTGATATTTCCTTTCACATGCCAAAAAAGGAATAGTTAGGAGAATTTTATTTATAATTTCAATCAAACTAATGTATATAAAATGGAGTTTCCCTAATATTCGAATTCTGATAAAATATGAAACTCTTGAAACAAAGCTATACGGAGAATATATAACTATCATAAAGTATAGGAATCATTAATGTTGTAAATGAGGTACCGTAGAGGTTTCCATGTGACATTTATAATCAATGTCAAAAGATTCTTGTCTTATTATTATTAGAAAAATGCTAAGGGTACACCAAAGGTGTACCCCATTTGTCCCACACCCCCTCCATTACCACATAAATGGGCAAGAATTTTTAAAAAAATTAAATAAATAAAAAGTAGATAAAAATGAGTGGTTGAAAAGAGAGTGGGGGACAAATGGGGTACACTTTTGGTGTACCCCTAGCATTGCTCTTATTATTATTACTATTATTATTAGGGCAAAGTTTTGTTGACCCTGGCTTTTAGCATCAACGAATGATACTCGGTCATTTGGAGTCCCTCCGATGCTCCGTTTACAAAAATGATGATTATTACTAAGTATTACTTTGTATAAATATATTCTTCATATATACAAGATATATATGCGTGCATTAATTTTTGAATATGTTTGAACCATATTTTTGACAATTCAAATCACAAGTTTCACCACTCAAATCACTAGTTTGAACCATAATCTTGTGAACTGGTTCTTTGAGTTTAGACTGATTTTTTTCAAAACAATGGGAGAGAATAGAGAGATGTTACGCATAACAGGAAAATCTATTTTGTTTCCTGAGTATTTCTACAACACAAATCCGTTGTAGTCTAGTTGGTCAGGATACTCGGCTCTCACCCGAGAGACCCGGGTTCAAGTCCCGGCAACGGAGATCTCAATTTTTTCTTGCATGAATACTCCGTTATTGGAAAAAGAATTTTGTACGAAGCAAAGCCATGTGAAAATACAAGTTTTTTCTCCCAAGTTTCCCTCCTTAATTTTTTTGCTGTTATATTTTTGGGCTTACATAGAAAAATGTATTTTCCTACATTTTTGATTGGAGTTTGGAGGGTGTAAAATATCAACTTCACTATTTAATTGTGCTTCCTCACAAAATTATCATCTTTAGTTTGAATTGTGTGGTTAATCTGAACATAGAATTAATATTATGAAAATCTTATATATTGAAAATGCTTCTTGCTTCTCAATTTAAATTGCTCGTTTCGATTTATGATGTTTGATTGAAATTCATTTTATATAAAAATTAGTGTGGCATTAAAAAATGAAATTAGTATACTTAAAAATCGCATCTAAAAGTCTACTCCTATAAAACAAGAGTTGACATAATTATATTATTTTATCAAATTAGTATTGAAAATGTATAGTAACAATGGATAAAGTTTAACCTCATTAATAATAAATAAAAATTTAAATTAAGACGAATCAGAGGATGTACATATGAATAGATACTTAAATTAAGGCTGAGGTCGTAGAAAAATGGAGGGTAGGTTTTTAGAATATATACCTTAGCTCCGATACCATATTGAATAATAGAATAATTATATTACTTAAGGAATAATATAAAATATGTTAGAGTATACATAGATGAGGTTATAACTTCAACTAGAAATATAACTTCTGCTAAAGTCTACAACCAATATTAAAAGATTTCTGCCTTAATATTATTACTCCGCTTGAACGGGGCGCATTGTGGTTGGGCTGAACTTCATCCTCATCTATTCATCAACTCCATATTTGCTGGTGATCTATCCGTCATCCATTACATACATCATCCATCATCCAATCCATCAATCGCTCACGAGTGAAATGAGTAGAACAAGTAAAAACGGATGATATAAGTAAGTCTTTTAATCTTTAGTATCATAAAATAAATAATTTATGAAGCGTATTACATAGAAAAAATCTTTAAAAAAAATAAAATATTCCTAATGTTTATGATAAAATCCTTCAAAGAAACGATAATCCAAGTTACAAAATACAAATTAGGTTATTATAAAATAGAATATTAGAAACTAAAACAAATCTATACTTTAAACAAAGGTAGTATATTCAATTTTATTTATTTCTAAAGGAAATATGATTGTTTTAGGTGATGTATGAGTTGACAGGTGATGTATGAGTTAACAGGTAAGAAACAGCATCACCCGCATCCGACATAATCTATCATTAGTTCATCCATCATCCGCTCATCACCCATTTCTTTTTGGATTTTTATTAATGAGAAAGGATTGAGTGGATCTATATACTTGTATAGTTGTATATGTTTGTGTGCATTTATGACTATTCGACCACTCATATCACTAATTGGACCAGGTAAATTTGTGAACTGGTTTTTTGAATTTTGACCGATTTGTTCAAAACCCACGACGAGGGATGTCAACGCGACGCAATTATGAAAACGGTATTTCTTCCTTTTGGGGATAGCTGAATCGTAATTCCGTTGTAGTCTAGTTGGTCAGGATACTCGGCTCTCACCCGAGAGACCCGGGTTCAAGTCCCGGCAACGGAAATTTTTTTACTTTGCCTCCAAGAAAAAATCCGAATTGGAAAAAGAAATTGTACAAAGCAAGGCAAAACCATGTGAGATACACAAATTGACCCTCCTAAATCCCCTCTCTTTTTGATCTTATCTTTTTTTTTTTGAAAAACAAGATGAGCCTCATCCCGACGGCCTTCGAAAACCCGACCGGAAGATCACATGAGAAGTTAAATTAAGCTTTGATCGTAAATTGGTGACAGAGAATGGAACATAGGTCTTATAAAGGCAACAGAAATTTTTTTACTTTGCCTCCAAGAAAAAATCCGAATTGGAAAAAGAAATTGTACAAAGCAAGGCAAAACCATGTGAGATACACAAATTGACCCTCCTAAATCCCCTCTCTTTTTTATCTTATCTTTTTTTTTTTGAAAAACAAGATGAGCCTCATACCGACGGCCTTCGAAAACCCGACCGGAAGATCACATGAGAAGTTAAATTAAACTTTGATCGTAAATTGGTGACAGAGAATGGAACATAGGTCTTATAAAGGTCCTATGCTTAACATAATTGCTTAACAAATTCAATTACTAAAAATCAAACTCGGGTCTCCCTTCTTGACACTATTTGTCTTTTGTTACTCCCTTGCCTCAATTTAAATTTTATTTTTATTATTCACATGGTCTAACTTCATTCGTTACTTTCTTTATTTTTGTTTCATTTTATAAAATAATATATTCATGTCACAACTAATTTTGTAGATATTTTGATGTAGTGTTTAAATATGTAGTTTTTTTTAATTGTACACTATTTTTTATATAAAGTTACCTGAAAATAACTTCAGTCAAATATCGTAAACTGAAACCGATGACTTAAATTGAGATAGAGGGAGTAAAACGATGTGAAAATATAAATTTACCCTCCTAAATTTCCCCCTCTTTTTGTTGTTATCTTTTTTTGGCTTACATAGGAAAATGCATTTCCTAATACTTGTTCTTATCGTTTCCTAGAATTTTTTTAAAATATATTTTCAATTTTTTATAATGTTTTGAAAATATTAAAAATTCTTTGTGTTTGAAATAAAAATAAAAATAAAAAAATTAACATATATTACATCTATCTCAAGTTAAATATTTTCACTTTTTGTTACTTAGAATAATTTTTTGGAAAGTTAAAAAAACCCAGAATAAAAAAATAAAAATATAGAAAAATGAAATGAAAAAAATTAAAATATGCAAAAAAAAATCTTATACAAAAAAAAATGGATATGTCTAAAAAAAGTCCTTAGAATTGAGATGTCCAAAAAGGATATTCATTTTTATTTTTGTATTATTTTGTATCTTATTTTATTCCTCATTTTTTTGAAGTTCTAAAAAAATTACTTTTTTTCAGAAAAACAAAAATTGTTATTTTGAGAACATTATAAAGATAATTTTAGAAAAACCTTTATTAATAAATTAAAAAAAGAGAAAAATGGAAAAATAAAAAATAAGCGAGAAATAACAATCAGCACTGATATCCCCTATGATTTAAAAAATATGCACCAATGCCCCCCTTCTTCACCGGAAAAATGGCCAGAAAATGATCAGAAGAGGCACGAGTGCAGCATTTTGAAATCACAGAAACTTTAAAAATAAGTTTTGAAAACAAAGAGGTTGGTGCCTATTTTGCAAACCGCGAGGGGTACCGGCCCTATTTGGCCATATATTGACCACTAAAAATTCAAAGGCCATGTTCTGAATATACATATTAAAACTTTTTAGATGATAATAACAGTAATAGTTAATAAAATTATCATTATTATTGTTGTTACTACTACTACTACTACTAGTATTATTATTATTAATATTATTATTATTGTTTTTATTATTACTATTATTATTATTGTTATTGTTGTTATTATTATTATTATTATTATTATTATTATTAGGGTTAAATTTTGTTTGAGTGCAAAAACTCGAAGTTGGAGAAATACTTATGAACGTAAGTAGTATATTTTACATAAATGTATCAAGATCTTTACTAAGGAATTGTTTGGCAACTTTTGAATAGGTAAGTGCTGAACCAGTAAGAGGTCTGAACCATTAAGTGCGGAACCAGTAAGAGGTCTGAACCATTAAGAGCTAGTATATTGCTTAACTATTTAGAGGCAAATGTCTGATCAATTTAGATAAGAGGTCTTAACCATTCAGACTCTGTATAATATTTAACCATTCAGAGGCAAATGTCTAATGTCTGAGCCATTAAGACATCTGAACCATTAAAAGGATGAAACAAACAGTTTGAACCATTAAGTGCTGAACCATTCAGATATCTGAACCATTAAGAGGCTGAAACAAATAGCCCCTAAATGACATTAGTGCTCCAACATTGAGATATGTTTACATCGATACACCAAATTCAAAGCACAAATATAACATATATAAATTTTTGGAGCAATAATGTTAACATATAAAAATTCTGAAAGCATCAATGTCAATTATTGAATCTCGTGCACTCAAAAAAAATTTATCGAATCTCGCCGTGTGAAATTGGACAATTACTGTAGTAATGAAGTGAAACTTTTCATATATTTTATTCAAAATAATAGGTGAGTTGACGGTTATTTTATCAAATGATCAATAAAAACACACGTAAGTAGATGAAAATTTGAAAATGCATTGTGATTGTTGACAATAGTGCGTGCATATATTGAGCAACCAAATTGTTTTTGGTGAAAATGTCAAAACTTGGCAAAACACAACCTAAAACTAAGAGGCAAAGGGCAAAACAGACCCTTGACAATTCCAAGCTCAGCATTATTCCAATAGAACTCAACACAAAAACAAAAAAAAAAA